TGTGCCCCCCCCCCCCCCCCCTCATTTTAATAAGCTTTAACAAAATATATCGTGCTGTCATTTTTTTATGCTTTCTAAAACGACTTTAAAGACGATTTATGAACGGGGAAATCATACATTTTGGAGAAATTAACGGTCTATATTTAGTAAATATAAACACGCTATCCACATTTTAGATCAATGTGAACTTCTGTTTGTAACATTTGATGTTACTTTTTAATAGATTTAAGAAAAGGGGGATTTGAGGTTAAATATGTCATGTACCAGTGAAGTTTGAAATAAAATATTAGATTCCGAAAAAGTTTCGAATATATTCGACTATCGTTCGAATAATGCAATCGAATATTCGACTAAAGAATATAAATATTTTGACATCCCTACTAATTACGGCTGTTGTTGAGAATTTTTTTTATAGATATATCCAAAATTGTATTCAAATGAAAAACTATGATCCCCTGTTGCGACCCCACCCTACCCCCAGATTTAAACAATCTTGAATGTACCCTACCTAAGGATGCTTCTTTAGTACTATGACTGATCATTGCTATGCTGTTCTTAAGAAAACAAGATGTGTTTGTGAAACACTGATGCCCCCGTATGGCAACTCATATCAAAAGTTAAACTTTCTCAAATGCATATCAAATATGTTGGTACCCAAAGTAAGGTCTTGTCTCGAAAAATATATACCTTTGAAATATGGAAACCCTAGCAGCAACCATTGAATAGATATGGATAAGTTTAAAGTTTTTCACAGGTAAGTCAAACATCAAGGTCAAGTTCAGATGGTAAAAATTAATGGCGCCCAAGGAAAGGCCTTCTAACAAGAAATACACATTTGAAATATGAAAGCCCTGGCACCAACAATTCAAAAATTATGGCCAAAGTTGAAGTCTTTCAAAAGAAGGTCAAACTCCAAGGTGAAAGGGTCAAAGTTGTTGGTATCCAAGGAATGTTTTGTCACAATGATTACATATGTGAAGTATGAAAACCCTAGCACCAACGTTTAAAAGTTATGGCCAAGGTTAAAGTTTTGCAAAAGTAGGTCAAACTCCAAGATCAAAGGTATTGATATTCAAAGGAAGGCCTTGTTAAAACGATTACATATGTGAAGTGTGAAAGCCCTAGCACTAACCGTTCAAAAGTTATGGCCAAGGTTAAGGTTTTGAAAAAAGTAGGTCAAACTCCAAGGTCAGGGTCAAAGTTGTTGGTATCCAAGGGAAGACCTTGTCACAACAATCAAATATGGGAAGTATGAAAGCCTCAGCACCACCCATGCAAAAGTTATGGCCACGGTAAAGTTTAGCAGAAGCAGGTCAAACTCCAAGGTCAAAAGGTCAAAGTTGTTGGTATCCAAAGGAAGGTCTTGTGAAAATGATTATACATGTGAAGTATGCAAGCCCTAGCACCAACCATTCAAAGTTATGGCCAAGGTTAAAGTTTTGCAAAAGTATGTCAAACTCCCAAGGTCAAAGGGTCGAAGTTGTTGGTATCCAAGGGAAGACCTTTTCACAAGAATTACATATGTGAAGGATGAAAGCCCTAACACTAACTCTTCAAAAGTTATGACCAAGGTTAAAGTTTTTCAAAACAGAGTCAAACTCCAAGGTCAAAAGGTCAAAGTTGTTGGTATCTGAAGGAAGGTCTTGTCAAAGGGTATACACATGTGAAGTTTGAAAGCCCTAGCATCAACTACTCAAAAGTTATGGTCAAGGTTAAAGTCTGAAAATTTGTTGCAAAATTGGGTCAAACTCCAAGGTCAAGGTCAAGAGGTCAAATTTTTATGGTACCCAAAGAAAGGCCTTGTCACAAGGAATACATACGTGAAATATGAAAGCCATAGCTCCAACCAATCAAAAGTTATGGGCAAGGTTAAAGTTTTTGCGGACAAACAGACAGACAGATAGTCAGACATACAGACGGTCGGACAGGGCAAAAACTATATGCCCCCGAAACTTCGATTACGGGGGCATAAAAAAGTTATTTCCTCTATATACCTATGTAAAACTTTGATCCATTGTTGAGGCCCCGCCCTACCCCCGGTGAGTTATGACTTGAGCAAACTTGAATATACACTTCTGAGGATGCTTCTGCATTAATATTGTATGCAGGGTTATTTTCGCCCTTCTACACTTGTAAACAATTTTACCCAGTTTTTAATTCGCCCAGTCACAGTTCTGTTTAAGAAAATATACCGTTTTCTTTGAATTCACCCGTCTTAAATTCGCCCACTTGTTTCTAGGGCGAAAGAAGGCGAAAATTAAACGGAGGCGAAAAATTTCCCTGTATACAGTATGTTTAATAATGGCTTTGCTGTTCTTGATAAGATTTTTAAAGATATATTTACTTTATACATGTATTCCAGTGTAAACTTTGATCCCATGTTGTGGCCCTGCCATAAACCTGAGGTATGAAATGAACAAATTTGAATCTACAGCTTGTAATGACGCTTTCCCTTAAGTTTCATCTTTCTGGCCCAGTGGTTCTTGAGAAGATTTTTAAAAGATGCCATCAAATTTTGAGGAATTCCTAATTGTCTCCCCTTGAAAGAAAGCGTGGCGCATCCCGTGACCCAACTTGAATCTCCTTTACTCAAGACTGCTTTGTGGCATGTTGGTTGAAATTGGCCCAGTGGTTCTTGAAAAGAAGTCGAAAACAGACGAAACCCTTCGATCGGAAATACTCACTTGAGCCTTCGGCTCAGATAAGCTAAAAACCGGGTATTGTGAGCCTTTGATTTCACTGGAGAAGAGGTTTCCAAAAATATGACTTTAAATGCACAAGTCCGTCCGATAAAAAAACAATTAAACACAAAGGCAATATACAGTGTAAGATAACCAACATGTCCATTCAAGCACAACAATGAAATCAGTCAGAGTCACTTTCCTATTCTGTCGCACATGCGCATTTCACTTTGAAGGAACTATGAGGAAATGGAGGTCGGTAAGACGTATTGTGTATAAAAACACTTGATTTTGCATATTTCAGTTTATATGGACCAAATTTATACCACAGGAAAATTTTGTGAAGATACATTTAATGCAAGTCTTGGTCCAGAATAGGAGCATGTGTAACTAGGCCTAGAAAATTTATTCAGAATGCGTATGCAAGATTCACAAATTTACAAGAGCATCGTATGAGTTGCGAATACACGGGGGTTGATCTTTACATGTGAGTTCAACAATACCGCTACATTACAAAAAATTCCAACTCGTTACAGCTAATTCAAAATTTCGGGTGCTCATTTCCGCTACATCTTATCAACAAGACGGTTGGCGATTACCACTCATTACTGCTACATACAGAAATCTGAGTGCAGTGACACAGGCAATGAGTTAAACTCAATACGTGTGTAATTCACTCACAATGTAGTCGAAGTACAATTAAGTATGAGTTTATTCAATATAATTCATTAAGCCTGTAATCGAAATACAGGAATTTCAAAAATTCTAAAGTGTGGAGATTTGTGCAAAAACTGCAAAAAGATGTCTTTTAGAAAAAAAAATGTTTAGGGATTTTATATAATAGAGAGAAAAATTATGATCAAAGTCTTATATTCACACCCACTCCCCCTCCCCCGGCGTTGTAAACAGGGTAAACGTCTTATGCATGTGCTGTGCATGTCATATTAGGCAATGTAGCGGTAATGTATACTTCTAAATGTAGCGGTAGGGGCAACTGGGGTAAGTGGACACATTAAAGGTTTAATTGGAGTCTGAAAACTTCTAATCTGAACTAATCTTTCTTGTAGTATACTAAACTGATAGTTCACTCTTATCTCTTTGTAGTGTAAAATATTTCTCAACTGAATTCAAATGGTTTGAAATATATGGGCTAAAAAGTTAAATTTTAAAAAGTGTTCACTTACCCCATAGATTTGGGGTAAATGGACAGTGTTGAAAATTATGAAATAACAGTACACATTGTCTTTGAAGATACAATTACACATCTTTATATTATTGACAAAAAAGTTAAAATTAATGAATTTATTTCTTTTTTCTTTTTTCAAAATTGAAATTAATTTTCTGAGATCGATCACTAACCGTTATCTTTACCCTTTTTCAATTATGAAAAATTTTGAAATGCATATATGTTTTTCTAACTTTAATGACATAAAATCATCGATATAATTCAGTGACTCAAAACATCCAATATATAAGGTATTTCACACAAGTAAACATTCTCCAACACACAAGAAAGTGGAAAACCAAATCAAAAAAATTATCGATGCTTGTCACATACAAAATGTTCTAGCTGGCGTCCATATTTTCCAGTGCAAGATTCGTGGTACCAATCATCACAACTAGTACATTTAACCCAGTCCTCATCATCTGAATCTTCATCATAATAGTACCCCCCACAGTAGGAGCAGCAATTAATGGTGTCAGTGTGAGAAGGGATATTTTCCTTTGACTTTGATGTAGTCTTCTTTGATTTACTTGTAGGCTTAATAAGCTGTTTCTTCAATTTTTCCATCTCTTTCTTTTGTTTCTTTTCTTCACGCTCTTTTTTTCTTATTTCTTTTTCCATCTGGTCTTTTTCTCTTTTTTCCTCCTTTTGTCTGATTTCATTGATGAATTCATTCTCTGTTACACATCTTGCACCAAGAACTTTCTTAGTTTTTCTTTGAGCTGGTTCTTTGACAACTGTTGGAAGTTGAAATGCTTCTGTAATTTCTTCTGAGACTGACAAGGAGCTCCTTGGAACCTGGGTTGGTTGACCAATAGAGACTGCCATGTTCCCAGCTGATGCAATTTCCCCCTCACTGGTAGTGCTGGTTACAGAAGCTAAGACAGAAGTTTTTGATGGCCCAAATGCCTCTGCAGGAATAGCCAGAGGGTTGAAGGGAAAAATACCTGTAGCTCTAAAACCTCCAAAGATATTTACCATATTCATTTTCTCATTATATGCATGAGAGAAAATTCCGCAAAAGTCATATCTGGATATTTGTCTGCCAGGATTTGATTTCAAAAATGATTCACAATGCTTGTAGTATGCCTTCTTTAAGGGCCCAAAACACTTCTGTCCAGTGGCTGTGTCCAATGCGTTGTGTGAGGCGGCAAGCAGAATATTTCAACGTCATTTGTCTTCGCTGCTTCCAGAAGATGAAGTGTAATATGAGAGGCATGGCCATCTACTATCAGCAACACTGGTCTTTGAGGTGATAGGTTGGACAAAAAAATCTTTTCAAACCATATTCCAAACAGTTCTCCATCAATAAATGAGCTTTTACTGCATGCAAACAGTGTGTTCTTTGGTGCACTGCTCATTAAAGCTTGACTGATTCTTTTTCCTTTGAAAATCACCATAGGTGGCAAAACATGGGCCTCAGCATTTACACAACACAAAACTGTAATGTTTTCACCCCTTTCACCACTTGTTTTCGCATGAATGGCTTTCTTCCCCTTCCTCCCCACAATTTTTGATGTTAGATGAACTGTACTAAATCCTGTTTCATCTGCATTAAATATTTGCTGGGGTTTTGACTTTACATTGAGTTTATCCATAAGATCTCCTAGCTTGGTAAAATGGTCTGAAATTACATTTGGATTAAGCATAGTACCACGAGCAGCACTTAGACCTTCAGGTTTACGGAGAGATAAGCATGGGTGCCGGTCTCGAAATCCCTGCCACCAGTCATATCCTGCCATTTTCTTGTCTGCATTAAATGGATTTTTTCTTCCTGAGTGTGCAATAATTGAATATGCAAGCTTACATACATCTGATATTGTCAAACCAAACCCACGTTCCTCCATCTCCAAAATGTGACTAACAAGAGAGTTTTCTTCCTCTTTAGACAGAGTGGTTGGTTTTGATGCTGGAGACTCCAAATCCATTGTTGAAAGTCTCCTCGACAGGGTTGTTCTTGGAATGCCAAATATCTTAGAAGCTTTAAACTTGGTCATTTTCCCCGTTTTAACACACTGAACAGCTTTACTTAAAGATTTTCTGTCCCATTTTCCTTGTTTGGGCACCCAGTCTTTTTTCTTTCTGGCCATTTTACAATGTTTTCCGTTTCTGAAATTAAAAAAAAATATTTTAGTTACATAAAAACACAAAATCTCTGTGCAAGAAAATATTTACCATCAGAGATACCTTTACTTTTCTTTTTTTTTTTAATTTAATTTGCAATTATTTAAATTTATGTTACAGAAAATCAATTTATGTATTATTTTCATGATTAGAAATATCATTTAAAAATTAATTTGATACATAAAACTAAGATTTATACCGATACAATTCAAACTGAATATATAAAGATTAAACCTGAGACTGCTGTTTAAATAACATTGTCACGGTTTTGCACTGTCCACTTCCCCCAACAAACTTGGGGTAAGTGGTCACAATATGACATTTTGACATTTTTAAATTAATCTAATCAATTATTCTAACCAAATAAATATTTGTGTTTGCAAATTATTAATTTCGAAGAGTATGTTGCCATTCATTACATATTTTTTTTTTTAATAAATCTTGAAAATTGTAATAAATCCATGAAGGACACAACGTAATTTTTTTTCATTATCACGTGACCTTTCTAAAGGGTAAACGTAAAAAGAAAGCTTACAATTTTCCCTTCCACTTGAACAACAAAATATAATAATGTGTAAATTAATATAATATTTGAAAAACTAGTATCTAATTATTATCAAATATTAACGCCTCTAACGGACTGAACTTGAATATTTTATTATCAATACACAAGCTTTTATTATGTTTGTTTACAGATTTTTCAAAGGGTAGCCATTTTTTATGTGAAGATTATATATTGTTTACAGGAATGATGCGATAAAAATAATATAAACTGCAAAAATACATCAATGTAAACACTCCAGACTTAAAACTGATGCGTCATTGTATAGATTGAAAACAAGTTCTTTTGCTTAAAGGCGAACAGTTTTTATTTAAACAATGGTTAATCTCTGCAGTATTTATGACAATACTAAGAAAATGGCTCTGTGCAGTTTACTTACGGATCGAGTCACAGTTTTCTCCTTTTTTTCAATCGAAGTCGTTGACCTTGAATTTTCCCTGTCTTTGATGTTAACACATTTGCTTCCTCCTTTACAACGAGAGCTGAACAGGTTTGATAACTCTTGTTTGCTTTAATTTTTAAGCAATTTTTTAAAAATGTGTCCACATACCCCGAGTGTCCACTTACCCCAATTGCCCCTATAGTACTATTTTGTAGCGGTAATAACAATTTTAAAAATGTAGGGGTAATGTAATGCAGCCCTTTAAATATGCATTAAATTCAAAGGGAGAACATAATTATATGTCCTAGGTGTAAGCTTCGTGTTTGAGATCTGATGACCATAAACCGATTTATCGGCCGAAGACCAAGAGTTCTTACACATTGAATCACACTGTGGGTTGGCCCACTACCGTTCTGTGTTCAAGGGTAGGATATATTTCCTTATAACGGAGTAATGGAATTTATACGTGCTAGAATTTTGAGTATAACTCTGGACAAGGATTCTCGCAAGAGAGAACACTCTCATGTCTACATGCAAGGGATATTAGAGCAGCATACAGAACTAGTCCCTCCACTGAGGCCTATGGCTATGAGAAAAGGTTCTGGGGCTAGTTTTACAAAAGAGCTTGCGATTAAGACCAAAATGCTCTTGTGCAATTTTTTTCTGAAGATTTAATTTTGATTTTTATATAAACATGCAAATTCAAAGAATTGTGTTTCCCCCGCTTTTGGTGTCTTAGTGGATGGGATGACATTATTTATGGCATATTGTAACTGTGTCGTGTCTTTTATGCAGTATACAAAAAAGACATAAATGATTGAATTAATAACAGTTATGGCAAAGATTATAGCTTCTCAAAATTACATCAAACTTCAAGGTCATGAGGTTAAATATCATAATAAAATCCGAAAGGTCTTGTCACAAGTACTGCTCACGTGAAAAAAATATCAAAAACCAGAGTATACAATCGGAAAGGCCTTCAAACAGGTAATGCACATGTCAAATGTAAATGCCTTATCTTCTTTCAATTAAAAGTTATTAGCAGTATTAAAATTTTTGAAAAGCAGGTCAAGGTCAAGGGATAAATAATCGTAGTACATTGAGATGCTTGTCACAGGTAATGCACGTGTCAAATATGAATGCCCTATTTTCACCCCTTCAAAAGTTGCAACACTGATGAAATATTTGAAAAATAGGCTATCTTGAAGGTCAAGGTCACGGTATCAAATATCATAGCACATTCGGAAACATTTTGACATAGGCAATGCACTTGTCAAATATAAAAGCCCTGTCGTATGACATTCAAAGGAAATCACCAAAGTTAAAATTTTTGAAAGTTAGGTCAAACATGAAGTCCAAGGGGAAAAAAAATCATAGCATGCTCAGAAACACCTTCTCACTTGTAATGCACAAGTCAAATACAAAAACCCTATTTATTCTAAATCAAATGTTATAAGCAAAGATATAAATTTCGAAAAGAATTTCAAGGTCCAGGTCATGGGGTCAAGGAGGTCAAAAACAATAGTATGTTTGGAAAGGTCTTTACACAGGAAATGCACATGTCAAATATGAAAGTCCTATTTCTTCTCAATAGGTTTTAAGCAAAGATAATTTTTTTTATGTAGGTCAACGTCAAGATCACAAGGTCGAAAATTATAGTATATTTGGAAAGAACTTGTCACAGGTAATACACATGTGTAATATAAAGCCCTATCTTTTCTATTTCAAAAGTTATGACCAATTTAAAGTAATATTAAAATTTTTGAAAAGAAGGTCAAACTTTAAGGTCAAGGTCACGGGGTCAAAAATCATAGTATTTGGAAAGAACTTGTCACAGGTAATATACATGTGTAATATAAAAACCTATCTTTTCTATTTCAAAAGTTATGACCAATTTAAAGTAATATTAAAATTTTTGAAAAGAAGGTCAAACTTTAAGGTCAAGGTCACGGGGTCAAAAATCATAGTATTTGGAAAGAACTTGTCACAGGTAATATACATGTGTAATATAAAAACCTATCTTTTCTCATTTAAGAATTATGACCAATTTATTGTTGAAATTTTGAAAAGTAGGTAAAACTTCAAGGTCAAGGAGTCATAAATCATAGTATATTTGGAAAGATCTTGTCACAGGTAATGCACATGTCAAATATGAAAGTCCTTTTTCTTTTCAACCCTGGGTAGGATTTGGCTTCAATATGTAATCAAAATTAGAATATAAAATTTAATTCTTTTTAGCTCACCTGAGCCGAAGGCTCAAGTGAGCTTTTCTGATCACTTTTTGTCCGGCGTCCGTCTGTCTGTCCGTCCGTCTGTGTCTGTAAACTTTTAACATTTCCGACTTCTTCTCAAGAACCACTGGGCCAATTTCAACCAAACTTGCCACAAAGTATCTTTGGGTGAAGGAGATTCAAGTTTGTTCAAATGAAGGGCCACGCCCTCTTTCAAGGGGAAATAATAAAGAATTAGTGAAAAATTAATAGCATCTTTTAAAAATCTTCTCAAGAACCACAGGGCCAGGAAAGATGAAACACATGTGGAAGTATCCTCAGGTAGTGTCGATTAAAGTTTGTCCAAATCATGACCCCCGGGGGTAAGGCGGGGCCATACTGGAGGATCAAAGTTTTACATAGAAATGTACAGGAAAAAACCTTTAAAAATCTTCTTCTCAAGAACAGCAAAGCCATGATGAGTCATATTTATATGGAAGCATCCTCAGGTAGTGTAGGTTCAAGTTTGTTCAAATCATGAACCCCGGGGGTAGGGCTGGGCCTCAATGGAGAATCAAAGTTTTACATAGAAGTCTATAGGAAAAATCTTTAAAAATCTTCTTCTCATGAACAGCAAAGCCATGATGAGTCATATTTATATGGAAGTATCCTCAGGTAGTGTAGATTCAAGTTTGTCAAAATCTTCTTCTCAAGAACAGCAAAGCCATGATGAATCATATTTATATGGAAGCATCCTCAGGTAGTGTAGATTCAAGTTTGTTCAAATCATGACCCCCGGGGGTAGGGCTGGGCCTCAATGGAGGATCAAAGTTTTACATAGAAGTATATAGGAAAAATCTTTAAAAATCTTCTTCTCATGAACAGCAAAGCCATGATGAGTCATATTTATATGGAAGTATCCTCAGGTAGTGTAGATTCAAGTTTGTCAAAATCTTCTTCTCAAGAACAGCAAAGCCATGATGAGTCATATTTATATGGAAGTATCCTCAGGTAGTGTAGATTCAAGTTTGTCAAAATCTTCTTCTCAAGAACAGCAAATTCATGATGAATCATATTTATATGGAAGCATCCTCAGGTAGTGTAGATTCAAGTTTGTTCAAATCATGACCCCCGGGGGTAGGGCTGGGCCACAATGGAGGATCAAAGTTTTACATAGAAATATATAGGAAAAATCTTTAAAAATCTTCTTCTCATGAACAGCAAAGCCATGATGAGTCATATTTATATGGAAGTATCCTCAGGTAGTGTAGATTCAAGTTTGTCAAAATCTTCTTCTCAAGAACAGCAAATTCATGATGAATCATATTTATATGGAAGCATCCTCAGGTAGTGTAGATTCAAGTTTGTTCAAATCATGACCCCCGGGGGTAGGGCTGGGCCACAATGGAGGATCAAAGTTTTACATAGAAATATATAGGAAAAAACCTTTAAAAATCTTCTCAAGAGCCATGATGAGTCATATTTATATGGAAGCATCCTCAGGTAGTGTAGATTCAAGTTTTGTTCAAATCATGACCCCCGGGGGTAGGGCGGGACCACAATGAAGAATCAAATTTTACATAGAAATATATAGGAAAAAACCTTTAAAAGTCTTCTTCTCAAGAACAGCAAAGCCATGATGAGTCATATTTATATGGAAGCATTCTCAGGTAGGGTAGCTTCAAGTTTGTTCAAATCATGACCCCCGGGGGTAGGGCTGGGCCACAATGGAGGATCAAAGTTTTACATATAAATGTATAGGAAAAATCTTTAAAAATCTTCTTCTCAAGAACAGCAAAGCCATGATGAGTCATATTTATATGGAAGCATCCTCAGGAAGTGTAGATTCTAGTTTGTTCAAGTCATGACCCCCGGGGGTTGGATGGGGTCACAATGGGGGATCAAAGTTTTACATAGAAATATATAGGAAATTATCTTTAAAAATCTTCTTCTCAAGAACAGCAAAGCCATGATGAGTCATATTTATATGGAAGCATCCTCAGGTAGTGTAGATTCTAGTTTGTTCAAATCATGACCCCCGGGGGTTGGATGGGGTCACAATGGGGGATCAAAGTTTTACATAGAAATATATAGGAAATTATCTTTAAAAATCTTCTTCTCAAGAACAACAAAGCCATGATTTGTCATATTAATATGGAAGCATCCTCAGGTATGGGTAGATTCAAGTTTTTACAAATAATGACCCCTGGGGTAAGGGTGGGGCCACATTTATGGGGAATCAAAGTTTAGCATAGAAATATATAGGAAAATATCTTTAGAAATCTTCTTCTGAAGAACAACAAAGCCATAATTTGTAATATTGATATGGAAGCATCCTCAGGTATTGTAGATTCAAGTTTCTTCAAATCATGACCCCGGGGGTTGGGTGGGGTCACAATGGGGGATCAAAGTTTTACATAGAAATATATAGGAAAAAATCTTTAAAAAATCTTCTTCTCAAGAACAGCTAAACATTGTTTAGTCATATTGATATGTAAGCATCCTTAGTTAATGTAGATTTAAATTTCTTCAAAGCATTATCCCTGGGGTTAGGGTTGGGCCACAATGGGGGTTCAAAGTTTTACATAGGAACAAACTTAAAAATCTTCTCAAAAACAGCAAAGCCTTGTGTATTCATAGTGATATGGAAACATCCTCAGGTAGCATAGATTCAAGTTTGTTCAAATCATGTCCACTGGGGGTAGGGTGGGGCCACAAAGGGGGATCAAAGTTTTACATAGAAATACAGGAAAAAACTTTAAAAATCCTCCTCTCAAGAAGAGCAAAGCCATGTTTAGTCATATTGAAATGGAAGTATTTTCAGGTATTGTAGATTCAAGTTTGTTCAAATCATGACCCCGGGGGTAGGGTGGGGTCATAATGGGGGATGTAAATTTTACATAGGAATATAAAGGAAAAAATCTTTTTCTCAAGAACAGCAAAGCCATATTTAGTCATATTGATATGGAAGCATCATCGGGTAGTGTAGATAAAATTTTGTTCCACTGATTACCCCTGGGGGTAGGGAGGGGCCACAATGGGGTATCAAATTTTTACAAAGGAATATATAGGGGAAAAAATCTTTAAAATTTTCTACTCAAGAACAGCAAAGCCATTTGTTATATTAATATGGAAGCATCCTCAGGTAGTTTAAAATTCAAGCCCCCCCCCCCCCCCCACCCCACCCCCATGTAAACTTTTCAATACTAAATTGATTTGTGCTTTTTCAGCAAGGCATTCAAGTACGTTCAAATTGTGACCGTTGGGGTAGGATAGTCTACAAAAAGGGATCGACATTTTATAAAGGAATATACAGCTCTCAGGGGGTAGGTTGGGACCAAAAGACGGGAAATAATGGATATCATCCCCCCCCCCCCCTAGAATATCGGGGTCACACATAATCCTATTAACATTCACAAATTATTGGCCCTGGAAGCTGGGATTAAATTTTTACATAATGCATGTGCACCAATTCAAAATTTCCTCTCTTCTTAACGGAAATGTCGAGTCAAAGTGATATCCTTTGGAATACATCTTTTTGAATGATGAAGATGTAGGAGATATCCAATGTATGTTATTTCGACAATGATCTTTAAAGAACTGCTCAGCCAAATTGTTTTTTTTAATCTTTGAAGGGAAATTTTATTTGAAATAGAGAAGTAGAGCAAATCAGACATACAGAATTATTTCCTCTGCTTATCGGAAATGCTAACATGCTTGTAATATCAATTTATTATAGGAAGAGACAAAATTGGTGACTTAAGTTTACAGATGTGTAATACAAGTGGTGATAGCTGTTCAATACTCTTGTCAAATATGACAATCAACTACAAAGACTGTGACATTCTGAGCGAAAAATTATGTGAAAAACACACAGAAGACTTCAAACTCAACTTCATTACAAATAGACTTAATAAAACCTTAAATCTGGTGAGGATTTGATGCTACGCATACATTTATATATATATATATATATATATATATATATATATATATATATATATATATATATATATATATGCTGGTAAAAACATTGCACTCTGCAGTTTTAGCATTTACTGGACAGTTTAAAAATAACATACATGTAAAAATGTGTTTTCCAATGTTTTGTTTTATTAAGCTTGATGTATGTCACAGTCTTGATAAAGTTATTGAAGCAATAGGAAAGAAATTGAAAAAGGTGGACCGTAAGTTCTATTTACTTTGATGTTAATCTAAACTCATCATCATGTTAATATTTAAATATAGCTCCAATGTAGTAAAAATTTGAAATTTTCTTAGACTCAGTTTTTGATTTTGTTGTAATTCTAGTATTTCCAAATATCCAACCTGGTACTCTATTTAATGTAAACTTAAGTATGCCAAAGGACCCGACCTACAACGAAACTTTCATAGATACCTATCACAAAGTGAGTGGGATTTTAATTTTAAAGATTAAAAAAAATAACTAATATTATTAATTTTGCTAATAATCGTTAATATAAAAAAAACTAACATTTTAAGAACTATATGTACGTAACTTACTAAGTAAGCGGTTGGTTTATACAGAAAGTCAGTAAAAGTCTGCACTGAGACTTCATCATTATAGTGTGACGTCATGGTATTGGTTCCATTATAGTTCGAAATGGAATACTTACCAAATTCAACACATACCGTTCATTAATGAGGTGGAGTAACATTGCTAATTATATGTTACTTTCCTAATATTTTTGTTGTTGTTTGTGGGCAGAAAATATTCTTTTATTTCCATTTAAGTCTGGGTTTTTTTTTCATTTTTGGCAATGAATTAGTGATGAATTTCTCTTTTTGAAAACGTTTCCTTTGAGAAAGGGATTTCCCTCAGTTGCTGCTATGTCGAGACAAGTTTGAGCAAAACGCATGCATGTAAACCACCATTTTTGAATTTCAGGGAGATGTATTTTGGCATTCTACTTTGGAGAAATATCCTACTGGTTTCGTCCATTTTGACAGGGATAAAAACACTTCTAAAATGATTTACTTGTGGATCTCCAAATATGGTATGGAGTCTTTCTTAGAAGGATTTCAAAGACACGGAATGCTTCACTATATGATCACTGCGGAAAACGTAAGCTTTTACTTTAAATTAAAAGTTGTCTGGGTTTCAAAATAATCTTTTACGGTCAACTAGATCAGGAAACAATTATTAAGATATATATTGTTATTTGGAAGCCTAAAAACCGAAGATTGTAATAAATATTTTATCTTCGAAATCTGTAGTTGAATTTTTGGTAACAAAAAGAATTCTCTTGAAGTTGAATACAACACTAAAATGACCAATAGTTTTAATGCTGCAAAGTACTTTTCACACTCAGTTACACGCCGGACACGGACTAAACACTACTTGCAAAACTGGAGTTTGTGTTGGAAGGTTAGTCCCGTCGGTAAGTTGAATTGCACATGTACGTTTTAATTTAATATAAGTAAAATTTGGTAGAATTCCAATTTTCAATTCTCAAGAATTAAAATACTGTATTTTAATGCTCTTCAGCTAGCAAAGAAATATCCAGATTCTTTCATGGACCTAGACCTTTATAGTCTGAAAACACCAAACATAACATTTGAAAAGGATTTAGCCGTTTTGTCAGGAAAGATAGTTATGTTCGTTAATATCAGGGACCCCCGACCAGGGCTTGGAAATTTCACTCAAATTGCAAAATTGGATGTGGTAAAATTCACAACATATTTATTTTTAGTGAAACGGGAGCAAAAAGCGTAGCCGATAACTTGCTCTTAGACATTTGCAAATTTTAAAGCTAACTATAAAGCTAATATATACATGTATATTATTTATCCTTAAGATATCGTCAGTAACGCTCAATTATTTTATTTTATTAACAGAGTGTGACTTTACGAATCCAAGTATACATCATGAATGAAACCAGAATACGAGGAAAAGTTGTCGCTTTTGAGTAAGTTTTGAAAACATTCATTATCATAAATTTCAAGTGTAGATGTTCTGCTCTATCTCTTTAAAGCTTAAAAATCAGAATTTACTGAAACTTATGCAAGACATCACACTTTGTTTCATTGATTTCCAGTTTTCTTTCCATGTAAAAAAAATACCTTTGCCTTTGGTAAAATGTGACTGCAAAATGTAAGAAGCTAAAATGTTTGAATTAAAGTCCAGACGAGTCTTAAGTATTTAGTCCCCATAAATCAGACCAGAAATTATCATGGTTTTATTTCCAGAAAATTACTAGTATTCAATTAAGTTTATGAATGTGAAAAGCACTTGTACTTATAGACACATTTATTTAAATCTATAGTCCATATATAGAGAATATTGACGTTGGTCCTGAAATTACAGGCTTTGATGTAAGTTGTTATTCAGTATCAATTTCGAAATATATATATCGTTAATTTTATACTAAGTTTCTGTACCTTGTAATATTTTGTTTTACTATAATTTTATTTATTTAAGCAACAGACAATAAACTTTATCCTGCTAGGAGCAGTTGTGGTGACAGCGGAACCTAAACTAAATGGTAAGAAAATGATTAGAAACCTCCAAGATTTAGTCAGTCAACTTAGGTACAAACTTCCTGTGCCTGAAAAAAAAGTTCGATGACTTTTAATCTAGTTAAAATCATTATCTTCTATGCAAATGGTAACACAGGGGAATTTACTTTATAGAAAACGTTTCTTGTTCATTTTAGTATAAAAACCGAGTCTATTAAAATATGTTTTATTCTATATATAATCAACGTAATTTAACCCATTCAAGACCAATTGTCAAATTGCCGTTTTTCTTTTCAGACATTCAATATATTCAAATTAGAAAATTTTAGATTCATTTCAATTTGTGGGGTTCAATGTTCGTAGGAAATATATATATTGAATATTAATTATAGCTTAATTGATAGATAACTGTCCTTTTTCTTTACTAAGTCTTAATATACATTAAAAAAGTATATACTTTGTTTAATTATTGCTCTCATGCCTGAAATATGCATAATCTGTAAAAAAAAAAAAAAATTAAAAAAAAATCTGCGAGAACTTCATTCTGCCCTAGTTACCGTTATTATTGTTGATGAAAGACACTTTTTGGAAAAAGTTTAATATCTGCAGGCTTTTATGACTTAATTTCATTAGAATTTTAAGAACTTAAGGTTTTATTGTCCTATATGTGCGTCAAACATAGGTATTGACTGTTACATGTACCCCGGCAAGCGCCTACCATTAGAAATGAAAGTCACGGATCTTTTGGACGAGACCTTAAAATCGGAGGTCCTTGTCACGGCAGGAGTTGGTACGATAAAAAACACTCAAGGCCCTGAGTGCCTAGTGTAGGTCTAAATTTTAAGCCCTTCACCTGTATAAGATAACTTCCCTACATGTATATGAATGAATAATTCTCGAATAGGGCGTGAAATAACATTCAATCAATCTCATACATATGCGCTTTATTATCGAATTGTTAACAACTAAGATGAGAAAACTTTAATCAGAACTTTTTGAATGAAAACCAGTCTTCTTTTAGATGCAAAAATTAAGGGGAAAAACTTTATTAGTACTGTTAGACGAATATGCTATAAGAAGCATTGCATGTGAAATTGTAGTACAAGTCACTGTCTTTAGTTTTGTGTCAAATGTACAGTAAAATTTGTGAAATTGGTAAAAATTGGTAAAGCAAATTTCAACTTATATTTATTCATTGAGGGAATTTGCCGTTTGTCCCCATGATTTCTATTTATCGTCTACGAAACCTATATAGCAATTATTGTGATATTGTAACTCTACAAGAAACACTAATAATTTGAATTAGTTCTTGAACACAAACCTAAAAAGCACGTGAGTTTCTTGCGTCTTGTCACTATTAGGAAACCAAACATGCAATAATGTCTTAAAATTAGTAGGAATACGAACGGGAAAAAATGAATAAATAACCTGAATTATGAAATAAATGTATGGTTATTAACTTCAACATTAATTATTACATAATTTATGATGTGAACAATTACATACATCTAAACTAGTCTTATAAATTAATCAATTTTGCAAAATTAATGAACTCTGAAACGCTTGCACCATAGTTCATACTTAATCCTTTATTATTCCACCAGATATGAGATGATGTCCGTAAACTATATTCAGATTTCATAGGCATACTTATTATAGAAAATTTAATTAAGGTACCTTCATTTTCGATAAACAGCCGTGAAATAGCAAAAAAGAGAACACAGTGGTGGTTATGGTTGGCGGATCTAAGTTACTGGCAATTTTTTATGAAACTGAAAACAAGCAAGCGTGTAATTATTTGATAAAATGTCATTAATGAATTATTCAGTGAAAACTTGATTTACGTTTTACAAAAGAAATTAGTTATGATTACTGATTGAACAACCTAATTCAGAGAATTTGTGTCCCCGCTTAAGGAAAAAAGGAGAGCATGCGCAAATCTAGAAGGGGGGGGTGGGGGTCGGACCCCCCTCGATTTGCAAAGTTATCAGTCCCCTACCGGTGAAACCGGAGGGGACTATAGGTTTTCTCTGAGTCTGTCCGTCCGTCTGTCTGTCAGTCTGTCCCACTTGGTTTTCCGCACTTTTTTTTCTAAACGCTTGTAGATATTGAGCTGATTTTTGGTATGCGAGTGTATCTTGATGAGTTACAAATCAAGTTTTCATTTCGTTCCGCTTCATTGATTTTTGACGGAATTACGGCCTTTTCAATTTTTTTTTCAGGGTTTTCCGCATTTTTTTTTTCTAAACGCTTGCAGATATTAAGCTGATTTTTGGTGTGTGACTTAATCTGATGACTTACAGATCAAGTTTGAATTTAATTCCGCTTCATTGATTTTTGACGGAATTATGGCATTTTCAATTTTTAACGGGAACCAGATTACACTTGCCGGTAGGGGACTAGTATTGCTAATGCAATACTCTCAGAATGCTTGTTAAATATATATACTGAAGGAAATAAAAAATGCCAACATGGAAACATGTGATTGATTATTCTTTAAAAATGTGTACAGAAGATTCTTTTAATATAAAATATTTACCACACTGTATTAATGATTTTATAAGAAGTTTATACTCGCAAGATGTCATAACTTCTTCATTCCATATGTTGAATACTATCATTTAGTAAATCGGAAAAAAAACATTTAAAAAAAATATGGGATCGTACGGGAATTGAAACCTAAACCTCTTGTATCCAAAACGAGAATCATTCCCCTAGACTTTCGAGGGCTTGACATTAATGCAATCAAACGCAAACAGCAGGTCACATATACATGTATATATTCACGTTCGATATCTTCAAAATTTTACCTAATACATGGTGTCTAATTTAGCCTTTACTAAACAGTTTTAATAGATGTAATTAGAATATAAAGTCCACCGACGACCTGTATTCTATGAAATAACTCTCCACTTGCTCCAGTGCTAAAAAAAAAGTGCCACTCGACTTTTAATACAAACGGAGTAACTCTAAAACTTTGAGCGTGATCAATGCCAACAAATTTCCAATTGAATTTAAAAAAAATGACCAAAATTCAAAAAAAAAAAGGGCCGGACACTTTGAGAAGGGGGGGGGGGGCATTGGGAGTTATGGTATAAAATTTCATTGCAAAAACTCAGAAGCTCTTGAGATATCGCCCGGAAACGAAGGTGTTACACACAAACAGAATGTATGAATTTACAACCTTGACCTTTGGACCTCGAAATCAAAAGAGATCTTCCTTATGCCACAGAGAGTTATGTAAAATTTCATTGCAAAAGCTGAAAGACTTCTCGAGATATCGCGCGGACACGAAAGTGTTAAAACAGATAGAATTTATGACCTTGACCTTTGACCTCAAAAGCTCAAAGGCTTCTAGAGATATCGTGCGGAAATGAAAGTGTTACAGAAATACAGACGGACGGACAGAAAGACCCAAATTAATATCCCCCACTTTCAGTGAAATCTTGGAACAAAAACGAGGCATTCATAACACTACATGGATATGAAAATGTTTTTAATGTGGATGGGCATAAAATTAATGGTACAGTGTGTAAAGCAATTGATAACACTATAAGTTGTGAATATATTTATATATCGAAAGACTGTTAGTAAGTTGTGCTAACAAATTTACCTGTAAAACCATAAAATGTGTATATTCGCCACTGAGAGCACGTAGCAACGAACCCGAAGTACGAATTGTATATTCAGTACTAATAAACTTGCAAAAGAGAAAATGCCAATTAATGAACATGATGAATACGGATTTATGGATGGAATATGCTTTTAAAAATTTATGCTTTAATCAAGTTTTCGGCATACAGTCTTTTGTATTAGATGTTGGGACTATACATAATTTAAAGTGTGAAAAGCTAATTTTGAACACACATCCCTAGAGAGAAGAAAAATGTGCTGACAAACTCACGTAAAATGTGCACATTCACTTCTTTTATCCTTGATGGGAATGGAAACAGGGCACCCTCGAAATACATTAAGATAATACGTCAGGTATCAAAATAAATTTGCTAACATGTAAAGAGAATACGTCAACTAATTAGCGAAATTGAGATTTAAAAAAAAGAAGAAAGAGGGTAGGATGGGGGGGGGGGGTATATCTACTGCTCCTAAACCGATTGCGGGATTTTGAAAAAAAAAAAGTATTTCTTCCTGCTATATGCCTGTAATTAACTGTCAGTATAAACTATGAAATATTAATATTACGGGAATCATTCCGTCAGCAGTGGTAAAAATTCAATTCCCCGCGCTTACGCGTTATTTTATCTTGTTAAATATAAACAAAAAAATCTTTGTGGTCTGAAACCTAAATGTACATGTAATTGAATAAAACGAATTTATGCCATGTTCAGACCCAAAGAGACAAATATAAGCACAGTTTGGCCCTTATTTATTTATTTTTTGGCATGAAAACCCTCCATATTTTAATATGTAGGAATTTAAATGTCCTAATATCAAATAAAAGTTACATGTATTAACAGATAAAATTAACATGTATTGCCATGCATGTATATACAGGATAAAACCCAGTTCAGAGATAAACATATTTACCCTACAGCAACAAATTTCACAATTTTGGAAGAGTCACTCTTGCTTATCATAAACATGCAATTATTTTGTCAGCTAAATACCCAGGGTCCGAGAAAAATTTACGCATTTTTACAACATGATCATTAGAGCCCAGCCTTACTCCAGAACCCCTGGCCCAGGGTTGAATTTCGAAACTTTGGTACAATGCTCTATGCTTATAAAATTAAGTCAACAGTTTGACTGCTTGATGACAAGGAGTAAAGAAGAAGATTTTTAAGGATAACACTAATTTTGATTGTTTTATAGCCCCACCCCTCGGGCCATGGGGTTGCAGAGGCAATCAAAGTCACAATTTTTGTATCCCGACCCATTGATGTTTTACCCCAAAGTTGTATTCAGTGGTTGAAGAGAAGAAGCTGAAAATGTCAAAAGTTTACAAACAACGCAAGACAAAAACAGATACAATGTAGTAATAGGTCACCTGGTTGACTTAGGTGACCTAAAAAGAAGTAATGGATTTTCACTATATAATCAATAAGAGCCCCCCCCCCCCCCCAACACCAAGAACCATGGAATTCACAATTTTGGAAGAAGCATCATTTCTTATCATAATTATGGCCTATGCACTTTGTTTAATACTCAGGAGCAAAGAAGATTTTCAAAGAAATAATGCATTTCTTCTTGATAATCAACAGCCCCCCTCCAATACCAGAACCCCTGACTCTGAGGTCAGAAGAAATTCTACAGTTTTGGATGAAGACCTTTGCTCTTCATAACTATGCACTAAGTTTATCTGATAAATATCCATGAGCAGAGATAAAGATTTTCAGGGAATTAATGCATTTTCACTATATAGTCAATAGAATCTTAACAGAGTCCTTCAACCATTAACTATGAAATTCACAATTTTAAGAGAGACAACCTTGCTTATCATAACTATGCACTTAGTTTGGCTGCTTTATACACTTGAGCAGAGAAGACGATTTTCAAACAAATAACGCATTTTCACTATAAAATCAATAGAGCCCCGTCCCAGCACCAGAAATCTTGACCCTGGGGACCATTTTAGAGGAGGCACCCTTGCTTATCTTGACCATGTACTTCAATTATCTGCTAAATATTCAGGGTAATAGAATATTTTTAAAGAACTTATCAATTTCACTATATGATCATTACAGACCCGCCAAAATTCCAGAGCCCCTGTCCCTGGGGCCATGAATTTCATAATTTTGGTAGAGAGCCAAATGATTATTACAATCATGTTAACAGTTTGACTGGTTGATGTCCAGGAGTCAAGAAGTTTTTTTTAAAGATAGCACTTATTTGATGGTTTTAGTTCCATCCCTCAGGCCCTAGGGATCAGAGACCAGGAAATTGACGGTATTGAACCCCTTTACCTATTAATGCTATATGCCAGAATTGTTTGAAATTGGTTCAGTGGTTCTTGAGAAGAAGCTGAAAATGTTCACGTTTACGAACAACAAACGTCGCCTGCATGGCTAGTGCAGTGGTTAGAGCGTCTGCTCTAGAGTCGCGGAGTAAAGAGTTGATCTTTACGTCGCGGGTTCGAATTCACTGCAGGACGTGGAGACCGGTCCTTTGGATGAGACCGTATAAACCGAGGCCCCGTGTCGCAGTAGGTGTTGGCACGAAAAAGGTCCCCCACAGCTCAATGGACCTAAGTGCCGAGTAAAGGTACAACAAATGACACACGTTGACACAGAAGGGATATCAATAGGTCACCTGAGTGACTCGGGTGACCTACAAATGGATGAGGATATATCTCAACTAGATATTTGTGTAGCCAGGGATTGTTATCCAGCCACATAACCAATTTTCTTTGGTTGGAAAATGTTTTGCTTTTTAGTAAATATTAAATGTATCTATTATAGAGGTATATAAAGATTGATTGATTGTACATGTATGTTGTTTACATCCCGTTCGAGAATTTTCACGTATAAAGAGACGTCACCCTATACCAGTGAAAGGCTTCAAATTTAGACCTTAACCGGCTCTCAGGGCCATTGAACAGTGAGGGTTCTTTTACCGTGACACGGGGCCTCGGTTTATAAGGTCTCATCCGAATGACCCACAACTTTCATTTCAAAGTGCCGAGCGCTTGATGAAGGAGTAGTTGCTACCTATTTTTTATCGACTTAGGTCAGACGCAGCCGTGATTCGAACACACGACCTTCCGATCACGGAGTGAGCGCTCTACCGACTGAGCTACCATGGCGGTTAGAGGTATAAAGGTTTTGTGGCCAGATTTGAACTACCGGACGTGTATTTTAATTCCAAAAAAGCTATATAAAACAAGTTTCTGTCTATGCCATTATCTAGTATATGAATGGTCAACTTGCGCAAGTGCGAGGCTTCTATTCAAAGCAGCTTACAACATTACTAAGAATATTTATTTAAGTTCAATTTATTTAATTGGTTTTATTGTTTGAATAAGCTTAGAAATTTAAGATGTAAACAATGCAACTGTGTCCAGCCCCCTTTCAACTCATCTAACGTTTCCAACTATACTGTCTCCCGTTATATATTTTTAAGTATTGCATTAATGAAATCATTTCAGAATTAGGGGAAAGAGGCTTTTGTATACCAATAATTCATGCAAAACTAAAGAATACCACCATTCAATTGATAGACGTGAGTATAATTCTAAATCAATTCATCATAAAGGCTGGAAGAGCATATATTATTGAAATTTTCCGTGACTTGCAATATAAACTTAAATTTCTAAATGGAAAAAAAAACTTTTGGTTACGTGCTCTAGTGGACTGTTTAAAACTCATTACTATATCTAAGTTTTTTTTTTTAAACAGAAAGCTATCGTTATTGGAGGTGATGTTGAGTATGGTAATAATACAAATTGTACTTCCTCTTTCTTTTAAATGCAATTTACGTACATAAGTTACAGTATGAATACTTCATTTACAGTGATGGTTTATATTATAATCAGTTCTTGAATATTATTTTTATGTTTTTCAATACAGTTGATGTAAATTACATAAACCATACCTGTTTGTACATGTTCTTGTTTTCTTTGTCTGAAATGTACTATTATGTGTTACAAAGCAAATCAAGTATGACTTTTAAGACAGCCAAATGAATTAATTACATTTATATATTACAGCAATGCACATGCATAGTACATGTACGTGAATAATTTAATTTGAATTTGGTTGGTTATTTCCTTAGAGAAGCGATGTAAATGAAGTTCAATGAAAACCATATTCGATTGTGCGATTTGCACAAAGCTTAGACTAGTATTCATAATTGTTTAAGAAAAGAAATTATGTTAACAGTGTTGATTATAATTTTTAACATAATATTTAATTTTCGATAATATCAGTAAAAACTATTATGAATTTTATTTGCTTGTTTTGATTTGCTTATGATTGATTATAACAAAAGCAAAATAGTTGATACTTCAATTCATACAATGTACATTTTGAAATATAAATATACGGACAAGCAAAAGAAACGCAACAAGCAGTTAACCACAAATATCCGAATTTTTTTTTTATCCAATGGTATTTACACAGAATTTAACAGTATGATAAAACATGAAATAAAAATATTTGATTGAAACATCGAATGTTATATTCTAATTTTAGAAATTAACACATAATCGTGCGTTAACCCCCCCCCCCCCCATAATGAATTTATACACATTACTCCTTTGATTCTAGAACCAAACACAAATGTATCCCAAGGAGAGGGTTGCATAGGCTTTGCCTGTTGCATAAACCTTATTGATTTGTTCAATAAAATATGTTTAAAGTGTAAAAGTGTATATCCAAGAGATTTATGAAGGATTTTTTGTTGATTTTTATCAGAACATGTAGTTTCCCAGACAAAGAAACAGAAAAAAAAAATTCTAGTCTTTAAGCATGTAGCATCATTTTTGAAAGGGGCACCGAGAAAAATAATTGACACTTTTATCTGAAAAATCCGGGAGGGGGGTTAGTGTTATGATTCCAACTTTTTCAAAATACAATTTCTCGATCAATAATTATGATGGATTTTGACCTTAGTATAATAGTACAACAAAAGGTGTGGGTATGGGGGCAACCTCCCTTTCAATGAACATTTTGGTACTAAATTAACAGTAAAACATATATAATGATCGGGGAAAAGTGGGAAGGGGGTGGGGCTGCCCCCCCCCCCTCCGATACTACGTGCTTGGTCTTTACGCTACTTTTTTAAACTGAAAAAATCTTTCGGGTTCTATTCCTTAGGCAACCCTCTGTATTTACGAAGAGCAGAACATAGTGTGTGTTTAGATCCAAGAATATCCCCTTTTGTATTCAACTATGTTATTTGTAAACAGCTTAAGAGACCGTTTGAAGGCATGATATGCATGCATATTACAAAACTAAATTCAGTTTAGGATCTTTTTTGTGTAGCCCACAGAGCAGAGCGACACCTAGCGATCGCGATCACTACCTCTGTCTGTCTGTCACACCTTATATCTCTATAAGGTAAATGATAACTGTAAGAGGTATGGATTTGTTACATATATGATACTATGGCTTTTGTAAATTACCATGCTTACCGACCTCTTGACCCTTGACCAACTTTTCAAAGTAGTTCATAGCACCGATATACTGCATATTTTTTTATATTGAAAAGGTAAGTTTATGCTATTTAGCATGTGCCCTGTTCATAAAATATTATGAAAAATACCAGCATTGCAATCCACTTGATCCTGACCTTTGATCTACTTTCCAAAGAAAAAGACAGTTAAACTTACGAATTTTTGAATATTTTGAGGCAGGGTTTAGATAATTAGCATTCATACTTGTTTATGAACTCATGATACTGCACTTTGAAACTGTATGATATTCATTTACCACACAAATTTATATTTTTAAAAATACTATCAAAATACATCTGGATCGGTATTCCACAATGGATCGTGTAGACAGAGAAAATACATCGAGATCGGAATTCTATAATGAATCGTGTAGACTGTGAATTGTAGTAAACTTTTAGAGGATTGTTGGAAACACTTATTAATAAAATGATATATAATTATTTCTAATAATTTCAATTTAAATATCATTTGAGGATTAGGGAACCATATTTTCTTTGATTTTCAGATTCTATATCAGTCTTGTTTTGATGTAAAATAAAATAGTTTACTGAAAGTTATCTGAATACAATAGATCTATCTCATTGTGGAAATTATGTCCCACTTTCAATCACTCAATTCGCATTGCCTCGAATCAAAACATCTAAAGATCCAACGTTCGACACAATTTTACGTTATTACTTAGGCACATTATTATTAAAAGATGACGAATTTACAATTTCAAATTTTATGATATCAATTGTTATTTCACAATTTCTTAATTGTAAGTATCCAACGTAACTTGACAATTAAGTGTAAAATGTAATTGTAAGTTATTTCAATCCTAGCGGTAATGTAATTCGTAGACTTGCGATTTGTCAACTTGTGAAATGTAAATTGTACTTTTATGCAAAGTTGCATTATGCTATCGCCTATTAAGACAAAAGGGTCTTATCACAAGAAATACACATGTGAAATATAAAAGCCCTAGCACCAACCGTTTAAAAGATATGACCAAGGTTAAAGTTTTTCAAAAGTAGGTCAAACTCCAAAGTCACGGTCAAAGGGTCAAAGTTGTTGGTAACCAAAGTAAGGTCTTGTCACAAGGATTGCATATGTGAAGTATGAAAGTCCTAGAACCAACTGTTCAAAAGAAATGGCCAAGGTCAAAGTTTTTCAAAAGTAGGTCAAACTCCAAGGTCAAGTTCAATGGGCTATAATTGTTGGTATCTAAAGAAAGGACTTGTCACAAGGATTACACATGTGAGGAATGAAAGCCCAAGCACCAACTGTTCAAAAATTATGGCCAAGGTTAAAGTTTTTCAAAAGTAGGGCAAACTGCAAGGTCAAAGAGTCAAAGTTGTTGGTATCCAAATTAAAGGAAGGTCTTATCACAAGGCTTACACATGTGAAGTATGAAAAGTTCAAAAGTTTTGGCCAAAGTTAAAGTTAGGTAAAATTTTGTAAAACTGGTTCAAACTCCAAGGTCAAAAGGTCAAATTTGATGGTACCCAAAGAAAGGTCTTGTCACAAGGAATACATGTGAAATATGAAAGTCATAGCTCCAACCAATCAAAAGTTATGAGCAATGTTAAAGCTTTTGCGGACAAACAGACAGACAGACGGACGGACAGGGCAAAAACTATATACCCCCGAATCTTCGATACGAGGGCATAATAATATATATTTGCTTAATTTTAAGATAGAGCGGTAATATGAATCTAATGTACTCATTTGTAGCGGAGAAATAAAATATGTCCCACAAAGATTTTGTGGAAGCTCCCTAAAAGGTAGTTTAGTTCGTAAATTGTTCAAATCATGGTCTCCATGGATAGGTTGGGGCCACAATAGAGAATATTATCTTTAAAAATCCTCTACTCAAGAACAATAAAGTTTTGCTGAACCATATAAAAGTGGAAGCGTCCGCTGGTAGTGCAGATGTATTCTTGGTCAAATAAGATCCTCTGTATTTAGTATGGGGTCACAAAAGGCGATCGAAATTTAATAGGAATACATGTATACTTGGGAAAAAGGCTTAAGCAGAACAGCAGGACCAAAGTGACTCAGGTGAGCATTGTGGTCTATGGGCTTCGTGTTCTTTCCTGTCAAAGATTTTTCTGTTAACAGTTAAGTTCAGTCACAGTTAAGTTGTGAAGTATTTCATCCCCCCCCCCCATCTTTCAAAAAGGATGCTATGCATGTGGCTGAAAGACTACTCACAGAAAAGGGAGTCCCCCCTCCCCTCGCCCAACGTACGTTGTTAAAGAAATCGGGGTTTTTTTATATTTTGTATTCTGATTAAATGTTTTTATGTCATGTTCTGATTCATTTTTGTACACTAAATTACTCAGTTTATTTTAGATAATTATGAAAATCAAATCTTTTCAAAGAAGCTCTCGGTAGCCTTATTCCAATATTCTCATATGGACAAAAATGCGACTTTTCAGTTTAAAAAACACACAGGTTTCTGACATCATTACAAGGGGCCCAAAGGGCCTTAACGGTCACCTGAGTAATAATATAAATGTTACACTGTAAAGGATCCAGATTGAATATTAAATAAATCATAATCTCTGTTGCCCAAAAGCAAGGATGATCAGGGACTAGCAAAATAATATAGTGCTCAGTAACATACCTTAAAGTTGATCTATTTACTTGCCGTTTATACTCACCTACAAGTCGGTCCGCCTATAAGTCGATCGGTTGTATTTTTTAAGTTTAAATTAGAGGGATTGACCTGCTTAAATACCAATCTTTTTATAACTCGCGTATAAGTCGATTAAAGCGTTTTGGACCAAAGTTTAACTTCCAAGAAACCGACTTACAGTGTATAGGCGAGTATATACCGTGCATTGCCTGCACTTGCCCCCATTTGTCACTATCCCCATGCGGGATAATATATTTCTTGAGCACTAATAGTAAACCTATTTTAGTATCTCATTCTCTATCAAATTGGCCTCACTTAGTCTTTGAGGAACATTCAATGCACAAATATGAGATATTTTTGCCCTGTTTTTATTTATCTATAAAAATTACTTACAAGTCTACCTGACCATTAAAAACTATGAAG